TGGGAGGAGGACGACGAGGAGAGCGGAAGGAGAACGCAAATGCGTATAATGGAGGGACGGGAAGGCCCCCCATGGGAGCGGCCCCTAGTCACTGCGCCGCGCTTGGTACCTTCTGCCTCGGCACCCCACCCAGGAGCCCCCAAGAAGGCCCAGCACCCAGCAAGGGACTTGCTTCTAAACCAAATTCCCTACGGGGTTCGTTTCCAAAACATGTTGCGCACGAAACTAGAACAACTCAATGGGCCTCTCGAGACCCCCGACAAAGAACATGAATATCAGATGTGGTCCGTTTCAGACGGCTTGTGGGGCACTCTTGTCGGGCCCTTATCGTTGGGCCGCGTCTTGCTCCACTTCCTCCTGCCATCTTCCAAGTGATTATCCTCCTCCTCCTCCTCCTCCTCCTCCTCCTCCTCCTTCCTCCTTCTCCTACTCCTCCTCCTCCTCCCTTTTTTGGTAACATTCATGCTCGAACATCTCTTGGAGCGCCGACTGCCCTGTCCATCGAGCTTGCACCTTCGAGGCTTTGGCCATGGCAGTGCAAGCGGCGATTGCTGCTGCCAGCAGGTATCTGGCGGCGAGCGCGGCAAACGGGATGGCGGTTGGATCGCAAGATTTCCAGGCGGCGGTTCAGCAGCAGCGCCTTCTCATCGACAGGGCGATTGCCACTCAAGGTGCCATTGACACCGCCGCCGCCGCGGACGCCTTGAACGACCTCGCGAACAGCCTCTTCCCGGACGCAGATCGCGCTGCGATCGCCAGGGCCGTCAACGCTGCACAGACGACAGGGGTGGCACCAGCGCATCGGCAACAACTCCAAACGTTCCTTCACATTCACCACTACCTCACGGAGGACGATTGGGCAGTGCTTCTCGACCCTGCAACAGCCATGGGCCGCAAGCTCGAGGTCATCATGCTCCGCATGCGGGCGCTCAACGTGATGTACCCATCGGAGCCGACGAAGGTGCACGTCGTCGCGTTGCTTGCCTTCGCCACAGGAGACGCCAGTGGGCCTGCGTCCATCGACCCCATGGCCACCCTGAGGGACGTGACGACGTCCGTGAGGTACTGGCGCGGAGTCACGCCCCCTCGGGCATTGCCATTCATCGTCACGTGGGGCCAGAACCCGAATGATCTTCGCATTGCTCACCCGCAGCTCTTCGAGGCCGCCTACGGTGAGAAGCACCCAGTGGCGTCGAAGGTGGACTCGGTCCAGCTCGGTCTTTTTCAGAGGACGTTGCCTGCCAGACAGAGCCACAGCGCGGTGGCCGCGGGGGCGAAGCGGGCTCGCGTTGCCCCCGCGGCATCCCAGCACGCTTTCCTTCAGGCTCGCATGGGGGGACGCGCGGGAGGAGGAGGAGGAGAAGGAGGAGGAAGAGGGGGAAGAGGAGGAGGAGGAGAAGGAGAAGGAAGAGGAGGAGGAGAAGGAGGAGGAGGAGGAGGTGCAGGAGGAAGAGGAGGAGGAGGAGGAGGAGGAGAAGGAGGAGGAGGAGGAGGAGGAGGAGGAGAAGGAGGAGGAGGAGGAGGAGGAGGAGGAGAAGGAGAAGGAGGATCCAACCCCCCGAAAGGTCCTTTCGGGGGTCGCGGGGATGGGGAAGCTCGGACAGCTTTGGAAACACAGTTTTCAGGAAAACCGTTTGGGCACGATAATGGAGGAGGAGGGTTGGGGCTACAGGAGGCAAGGGGTTGGGCCTCCCGAGGCGCTCGCTTCCAACTGGATGAACGCGATGCAGCATGGGCAGCAGCCTGGCATTCCTGGCTTGCAGATCTTCGCGCGCCCGCAGCAGGCGCCCGGGCCCCCCGACGTCGGCCAGTCCATGCTGCCAGTTGGCCGCGCTGGGTCGGGCGGGTTCGCGCTCATGGACGGGACGGCCGCCGCGTCGCCATCGGCATCGCCGACGAGCGAGTCGTCGGGCAGCCCGGGCCTTCAGCTTGCACTGCCGTCCAACGCATGTTCGCCTGCAGAGGCGCCGCGCCCTGCAGCGAGTACGTCTGCCGAGGACGTCGCCAGTCGGCTGCAGGCGAAGCTCGGCAAGGCGCGCGCAGCGAAGGCGGAGGACACGGGGGGCTCCGAGGAGACTGCCGACGAGGATGAGACCTCCAGTCACCTGAGGAGGCCCGCTGCTGCGCCCGCTGCTAAACGTGTTTTGCGTCGGCCCGCTGCTGAGTCATCGCCTGTTTCTGCAGATGCCCGCGGCAAGGGCCGCGGGCAGGGGAAGGGCAGGGGCCGCGGCCAGGGGAAGGGCAAGGGCCGCGGCAGGGGCCGCGCCACGAGTCATGGCGCAGGCACGGCATCCAGCAGCAAGCACCCCTACCCTGGCCCCCCCACCAAGAAAAAACCAGCCATGTGTATCGGCCAATTCGGCGTGTACACAGATCCGCGTACTTTTGCCTGGCGCGTTCTCAAGAGGGGCGAGCGCGTCGATCAGAGGTTTCCGCATTGGCAAAAGACAACAAAAAAAAAAAAAGAAGAAAATAAAAAAAAAAAAAAAAAAAAAAAAACAAAAAAAATAAACAAAAAAAAAACACCACAAAAAAAAAAAAAAAAAAAAAACAAAAAACAAAAAAAACACAAAAAAAAACAAAAAAAAAACAACAAAAGAAACACCCAAAAAAAAAAAAAACAAAGAAAAAAAAAACCAAAAAAACCAAAAAAACAATAGATAAAGATAACAAAGAAAAAACAAAACCCCAAAAAAAAAAAAAAATACAAAAAGAAAAAAAGCAAGCGTTTCAACAATCCCGAAGAGACGTGGAGCCTGCTCGTCAAGCATTGCCTCAGCAACTCCTGATTTTGATTGCGAGGTGTCCAGCTGGTGCTCACAACAAATCATAACCTTGGCACGCACGGTACAGATTTGTGCGGTTGCCTCGTGTTGAGATCTCCGTTTCGCCGAGCTTTGACGGCTAGCCTCGGCGCGCGATGCGGAGGAGTCCCAGCTTAACCATCGCTCAGTTGCAGCATCAGCTTTTTGAACTCCTGGTTTGCCTAGAGCGCTACGTACGTTTGTTTGTTTGCGCTCTGTCAGAGCTGAAGGCTAGCCTCAGCTCGGACTGCGATGCGACAAAATGCATGCAGCCTCCTCCCCTCCGTCCCCCTCCACCTCCCTGTCCTCCATCTCCCGCTCGGTCACTTGCTCACTGAAAGACGTCACGTTGGAGAATGTTCGCGGCCGCGCGCCGACTTTCCCACCTGGCCCTGGACTTGCCGTTGACCCAATGCTCTCGAACCCAAGAGGTTCCCCAGGAAATCCAGAGCTCTCGATGTCCAGCGTTCAAGTTTGAATTCCAGAGCTGTTCCAATAACTTCGGATGCGACTTCACAAACAACTGCCCGGACGGTGGCCAACATTGCAATGCAAGTTCTGTTTGGGAAGCTAGTTCGGTTAAACACAGCGTGGACATGAACAATGGCTGTCGGACTGCTAGATCAGAAGGGAAGGCAATGTGGCAAACGGAGTAGGCAAGTCTTCGTCATCATTATCCTCGTCATCCCCCCCCCTCTTGGCGCTGCTGCACTATCGCATGTATCGCTCACCCTCTCCCAAGTCCTGGCGCTTCGCGTGTCTCCACCAGCCCATCAAGGAGCGACCCCCGAGGACGTGCTGTTATCGGGGGAGGGCGACATCATTTTGAGAACGCAGGGGCCCTGTTGAACGGAAGCCTTTGTGAGGCAGGTCCTCGGAGCCTCGTGGGAAGGTTAAAGCCTTTTAGAACCCTCTTGGGGCAGATCGGGGATTGGTTGGCGTCTTTTGGAATGCCATTGGGATCATTTGTGGGCGCAGGCTTGGTGCCATCTTGGAGGCCATCGAGGAATCAATTGCAGTGAATGCCCCCATCTAGCGTGAGCCCGATGAGTTGCAAGGCGCCGTTGCAAGGATGGCGCAAACCTCCCGAAAGGGGAAGAAGGCGGTAGGACAAATGAAGCGCTCGAGATGCCCCACCCCCCAAACAAGTTGTTAACGTAGCCTGTCTGTGTCAAGCCAGTTCCAGGCTGCGTTCATTCTCGAAGCCCAGTTTCAGGCTGCGTTCGTTCTCGCAGCCACCCATCTGGGGCCTGAGTTGTTTGGGTCGGAGGTTCGCGCTGCGTCGACGACGCATCGCCGCCCGATGCGGGGTTTGATTTTCTCGACGCCGACGCGGCGCGAACCTCTGACCCCGTCAACTCAGGCCCTCAGACCCCCTCAACCCGGGCTCCGCGATGGCTGTGTGCAGCCGCTGCGCCGACCCGTCCGAGACGAACTTGGTGCATGTGCGCGCAGCGGATCGCATGGCACGCAACCACGCAGGTGTATGCATCTGGCGGTGCCGACCATGCGAGAGGCTCCGCAAGCGATTGTATCGCCTGCGGACCTCCCGCCCGGAGGTGTTCGCTATGTATCGGCGGCTCGGGGCGGGGGGCAAGCAGCAGGTGTTCCAGCACGGCAAGCATATGTATGGCGATGGGTTAGTGCAGCTCATCTGGGACACATTGCAGATCCACCAGAATCCCGTGGCTGATGCGCCCCCCATGGTTGATGTGGCGATGCACTTGCCCGAGTTGATGCTCCCAGATCTCATCCCCGAGCCTCCTGTTGATTGCATTTGGGTAACGCCAGAAGAGGCCGCGAAGCTTTTTGGCGGTTTCATTCCCGAGGCCGTCGAGGCAACGCTGATAAGGAATCCCGTTTCACTGCAGAGTTTCGTTTGGATCGATCGCGTTCGCCCCGCTGTAGAGCTCGAGCAGGCGTAAATTTCGAGCGCAGGCTTCACTGAGCCATGCGCATAGCGTAGCAATCCTTCCAACTCCTCAGCCCCTCCTTCCCATCCTCCTCCGCATCTTCCTCCTCCTCCTCCTCCACCTCCTCCTCCTCCTCCCTACTCTTCCTACTACTGCTACTACTACGACTCCTCTCCCTTCTCTCCCTCCTCATCTTTCCCCTCCTCCATTTCCTCCTCCCCCCCCTCGCCATGAGTTTTGCTTGAAATGCTACCGCAACGCTCTGCTGGCCCCATCACGCCCC